GACCGCTATGCAGCAGTCTTGTGGCCCAAATAGCGGATGAGTAAAGTAACAAACCTCACAAACACGAAGGCCATGGGCGATGAAGACATGCTTGAGCAGACTCCAAACGTCCGCACACACGTGCTTACACGAATGACAAGTTAGCGATCCAGTAACAAACGGACCGTCTTTCTGCCTCGTATCTAAATGTGGATTTATCAGTGTCAAAGCTGAAAAAAAAAGTTAAAACATCCTCTCCGCTCCAGTCTCTACGAGGGACGAATGCACTCAGAAACGGCCAAGCGATAGCATCTTGCCAACAGCAACTATCCACAGGCAAGGCCCAGTCTCCCAGTACAGCACATAAATGACATAGATTCAACTCCCCGGCACGCCAGGCATACGAATACCAAATTACTATCAAACTAATCAACGAATCGTACGATGCTAGTTTAATCGAAACATTTGAGTCGAGATTCACCACTGGAAGCATATGCTGCTTACCACTACGCCAAAACGTGGGCGTTTGCCGTAAATTCTTCCAAACGTACGAAGTAAGGACAAGAAAAACACACGAGACATGTTTAGATCGTAGAACTGATGAGATAGAGGAGCAAGGGCACCGAAATATAGCAGACACGAATGTTCGAAATAAAAATAACAGTTTATTAGACAGCAATCCGCTCGTCTCTCTGAAAGCAGTGCGCCAATCTTACAGCCAACCCCCAAGAAATGCAACAGTTGCACTTTACGCTCAAAGAGCAAAAAACACATAAATGAGTTCCACAAGGGCAGCCAGAGCGCACAGTGAACTGAGCAACTTTGAACTGAATCTAAAGTCACAGGATACGGCAAAAACAAGACATCCAGCCCATTTCCTAGCACTGTGCATCAAACTGTTAACTCAACGTCCCTTCTCCTAAACGATTCTTCACCTCGTCGTGGTCCAGCAAAAAGTCTAACACACACCAAGAACATCTCAAATCCGCTAGGGCTTTGTCAAACAGTTTAGTCTAGAGAATCGCAGAGATGGTAGTGCTTTCAGGAGGAAAAAACGACGTCAAGAGACCAACCACCAGGCGAAGCAGTATTGGACCAACCACCAGGCGAAGCAGTATTGGACCAACCACCAGGCGAAGCAGTATTGGTCAAAGCAAGTATGGAAGCAGAAAAGCTGCCAACCGCCATTCCCAGTGATACTAACTGAGCCAGTTTGATCCCGCTCATTTGCCGTATTTTCATAACAGATCTGACATCTTCGACCGATCCGAGCATCTTCCCACCTTAACTTCTCTCTGCGTCTGGTCTCTTCGACGGTTAAGACGGCAAGGCGGATGAACTGGAGTTACAGCGGCAAAAGATCTGTTGACTGTTAATAGCGGTGGATCCTAACACTGCATAAACATCACCGAGCGTCTTCTTATGGTGCTCTTATTTTGCGTTCTTATTCTCCTTTTTTTGCATATGACTGGATATTCTAAGAGACTGCACCCCACACCTGTTATGTGAGATAAAAAACAATTCCAAACATGCTACGCAGAAAAACAGCCCCCTCAGCCTTCCGCTGAAACGTTTAATCAAGCCAGTTCCTCCTCTCCCCGGGCTCCACAAACACTATTTGTACTTCTGCTGGATCACAGGTGTTTTTTTTATAAACGCCTTTTTTGACAACAATATATTCAACATTAAGCACATGTAAAGCCGATGCTGCAGCTGTCACCAAATAAACATTAGCCATCAGTTTGGAAGCAAAGAGACAAGCAGGGCGGATACTAAACAAACAAATTACCAAGAGGTACCAGCCCTAGCAAAACGCAACATAGCAGCTGGCACAGAAACAGTCTGCAAATAAATTAAGGCGCTGCTTTAACAAGCCAATGATGCGCGAACACAATAACAAACAGCTACAAAAAATTCGCGCACAATTTCGTCGTCCCTGAACTTATTTATTGACTTTGTTTTTGTTATTCAGACTAAATACGGTAGACGGACAATTTATCAAAGACAACAGCGAATTCCTGCTGCTGTAATAGAAGCAGAACCAGTGATCTCACCAAATCTGTTTATACAAAGCAACAAAAGTGAAATATAAGCATCTAGGACGACGCGGACCAGTAAGCTTCAAAACGTGAAATAATGTTCCATCAGGAAAAATTTAACTACAATGCAACAGCTGTATGCAGGTTGATGGCGACTGACAGACCTCACCCACCCAAGGGACAGTTTTTATCCTAGCGGACTAAAGAAGACAAAAAAGATAACGAAGCACCAGGGCAGCCGGTTTTGTATAGTCCTGCCCATCGGGCACTTGCTGATCACAGCCTTACAGTTCGATGTGCGCAAAAACAGTCGAAATGCCGTCTGGCTTCCGAGCTACGAGATTTCGCAAAGAAAATCTCCCGAGGACTACGGCCTCAAAGTTTTAGCTTCCTGGCTTTTAACATCTGCACTTTAGTCAGGCGGAAAAACACATATATAAACACATGAGTACACCAATTCGTCATAAACAAACCGAGCGCCCGTTACAAGGATAATAAATCATTTACGCGTCTTGAAAGGAAACAATTCGCCCCACAACGTTGATATGCGTCGACTCCGAAACACTAAGCCTCCTTCGTAAAACGCCTGCACTGCTTCATTCAGCTGAATGCGTTTTCAGCAAGTGTACACGAATAGTTGGTCATGGAAACTCCACCTTACGAAGAAACACAGAAAATTTGTGCGGACTTCTAGACTATACTGAATTTTAATAAAAAGAACAGCAAAGTAGTTAGAATAATTCGTCAGCACACCGACTGCCAGTGCGAAAATGCATTTTTTGCAGTTTTCCAGCAGGTTTTTGTCGCTAGCGCCACCGTTTTTCTGACAGATGCTTCAAATGGCCACCACGACCGTCGGCAATTATTATAACTCCCAATCCACGCTCAAAAAAAACTCAGCATCCTGTATGCTTCAACTTTGGAGTTACACCAAATTCCACGCACTCGTACGTGAAAAGACACGAATGTTGTTTTCACGTGTGCTTGCTCAAACGCGATCACAGGGTACGTTCAGAAAATTTCAGTGCACCAAGAGCTTTAGTTGCGGAGTTGCGTCAGATTCCACGTGTCCGTGTGTCATGAGAAGGGGAAGTTTTTTTGGGTGCACCTGCCCAAACATGCTCAAGGATTAACTGCTGAAAATTCTGGCAGTGTAGCTGCTCTGGCTGCGGCGCTACGCCAAATTTTACGCGCTGGTACGTGAGGGGGAACGTAAAAATTTTTTTTGCGCGCATCTGCCTAAACAGTCGCCGGCCATGTTCAGGAAGCTTGAGCACTCTAGCTGTTTTGGTTGCGGCGTTTCGCCTCTGCATCATTCCACGTGTGAGGAAAAGTGCATGTTATTTTTTGAGGTCCCTGCTCAAGCACGGTCCTGAGCCATGCTCAGAAAATTTGAGCATTCTACTTATTTCGGTTACGGATTTACGGCAAATTCCACGTGTTCGTAGGTGACGCGCACGTGGGACATGGAAATGCGAAAGTTATTTTCACGTCCATCTCGACTAACACAGCCGTCGACCACGCCCCAAAAGTTTCAGGCCTGCAGCTACTTTAGTTTCAAAGTTACAAAACCATCAACATCAAATTTCACGTGTCCGTACGTAAGATGCACACGCGTTGGAAAACTCAATTTACTTTCAAGAACACATCAATGGACGACAAGCGAAGTTGCAAAATTACAGCTCTTTACTTCTTGGTCACGAGTTGGCATGACGCCAATTCAAACTTTGACACATGCGTGTGCGAAACCTAGAAGTACGTGGAAGCTGAATTTAAAAAGTTCGGGTTGAACGAGGGCAACGAATATCGTTGTGAAGTTTTAGCCTTCCATCTTGTATGGTATCCGAAATTGCTTTCCCGTCAAAAAATCTTTCACGTGTCCGTACGAGAGAATCAGGTAGAAATGAGAATTCATTTTGGAGGTGCAGGACCATACTTAGGTGTAGGTCAAACTGCCAAAGTTTCAGCCCTGTAGCTTTCGTGAGTCTAGAGATGAAAACTCGGAACGGACGCGCACACAGATATATGTATATCTGTGTGTGCACACACACAGTATGCACATGTATATATATATATGTACATATATACATACACATATATATATGTGTACACATATACACATACATACACGTGCATACATATATATGCGCATATATATCCATATATATATTCATACATATATATATTCATATATATACATACATATATATATATGTATATATACACATATATATATGTATATATATATATGTACAACCCCTCCACAGTGTCCGTTTTTGCATTGCCTTGATGCAAAAGACATGGACAATGGACAGTGGAACAGTCCAGGTCAATGTTTTCACTAAAATGCTCCCACACATTGCG